ATGACTTTATAACACCATACATTCTTCATCTGGAAAATACCAGTTTGCTCAGTCATGGAAGACTCTCAAATCATGACAAATGTCATTCTACAAAATCAAACAGCCAGTTCATTAACATTACTACTGATCTCCTCAAAAGTCTTCAAGTATGGGAAGATGTCAAATTCACAGTGACAGTTTTCCAAAACCCTAATTTTTACTTTAAGGTTTCAATTTAATCATTTGTACAAATACTTGCAATTGTTTTCCGTGAAGTAACACGCTTCTTCCTACCATTTTCAGGAAAAAGGTCAGCCACATGGCCATATCTATACAACCACAGTTAGCCTGCCAGTCAGACTCCAAAGGTGAAGGTGTCCCTAGAGAACAGGCTAGCAGTCTCAGCAGCACTCTCTTGGAGACAGCTATCATACTCTAGGCTGCAGCACAGGTGCTATATGCATACTGCCCACGTATTATACAGCATCAGTGAAACTCATCAGTCTTAGCAACACTTAAGAGGTGAGACTAGGTCTTTCTTTTCTTCTTACGAGTGTGTAGCTTTTTAATTTCTGATGTACAAGGCTATAATAGTGTTTGGTTTTTAAAAAGCTCAGCCCATACCCACTTAAAATATTGCTCTTTTGAGACAAGTTCTCAAGCCTGGCCTTGAACTCACTCTGTAACCTAGGCCAGCCATGGCTCACAACGATCCTCCTACCTCAGCTTCCCAAGTGTAGGATTACAGGAGTGCTGGGATTACAGTGGTATATCACCACACCCAGATAAAATGTTGCTTTTTATTTATTTGTTTATTTTTATTTTTATTTTTTGGTCTTTTTGAGACAGGGTCTAGCTATGCAGTTCAGGCTGGCCTTGAGCTCACTTTGTAGCCCAGGTTGGTCTCGAACTCGCAAAAATGTTGCTTTATAAATATAAAATATTCCCTTTAAATTAAAATGTTCCTTTATCTTTAAACTCTGAATGATGGTCTCAAAATGATATTACAACTTCATTGAAACCATAATACTGTGAACATGTCCTTTTCACAGACAGAAAAAAGGCGAAGAGTTAATATCTACGTAGCCAAGGGAAAAGAGCTTTCGTTCCATTTTTGTTTCATATTTACAATATCGCTGAGTTTCTCTGATATGGCTTTCCACCACTCTGTGCATCACACAACTCTTTCGTATGTCTGTCAGTCTCTTCTTGTTTTGGGGTGCTAGAGATGAAAGCCAGGGCCTTACACGTTAGTTAAGCATTCTAATACTAAGCTGTATCCCCAGCCCCTCTTTTTCTTTTTTGTTAGCAATTGATTATCAATTTATTAAAACAGTTGACTTAGTCATCTGCAATGGAACTACTTCAACTTTAGCTCCTAGATCAGTACTGATGGCAGGAACCTGCTTGACATCCTAAGAAGGATTGTGCCAGCCAATGTGGTATTTATGGATTAGTATCTGGAAAGGAACCCCAGGGGCACTCTCAGTCTTCGGTCAGCATCCAAACTGTGCTTTCACTTTGAGATTCCTTTCCTTTGAACCTCTCCAATCAGCACACAACCTCTCCACGGATTCCTGTTGCAGCTGGCAAAGATGAGTCTAACCCAGTGAACCACAATATCTGGTTCTATGAGTGTCCTTCCAGTATCTGAAAAGTCATGACACAGTTCAGTATCCTGATTGATTTGTTCCTCAGCTGGAGAGGTCAGTAGTGAGCCAGGCACAGGAGAAGACAAGGCACAGGTCTACTGTACCAGTGATCACACCTTCCTCAGAAGGGCTGGGGTCCTTCTGAGCATCTCTGGACTTAAAATGGTGCCATTATGGTTGAGAAAGCAAGTCTCCTTTTTTTAAGTCAATGACTCATATATGAAAAATACATTACAGATGTTCTTTTATTTTAGCAAAATTATTAATATCTAAAGTAACATTTTTAGATAAAATTTACAATTTTTTTTTTTTTTTTTACCAGGAATCGAGAACCTGGGGCCTTGTACATGCAAGGCAAGAAGGCAAGAGCTCTACCACGGAGCCATATCCCCAGCCCAAAAACTCTTGATTAAAAAAA